ACCAGGACTAAACCAAGGCTAAACCAGGACAAAACCAGGACTAAACCAAGACTAAATCAGGAATAAACCAGGGCTAAACCAGGATTAAATCAGGACTAAACCAGGACTAAACTAGAACTAAACCAGTGCTAAACCAGGACAAAACCAGGACTACACCAGGACTAAACCAGGACTAAACCAGGACAAAACCAGGACTAAACCAGGACTAAACCAAGACTAAATCAGGACTAAACCAGGGCTAAACCAGGATTAAACCAGGACTAAACCAGGACTAAACCAGACTAAACCAGGACTAAACCAGGACTAAACCAGGACTAAACCAGGTGTATACTTTTCTATGCATGACTAAACCCGAACGAAGTAATAAAAACCCAGATAATTAAATAAGTACAAGATAAATCAGTCTAATACCGTATGGTGGAACATTTCAAGCAAAGCACCGCCATCTCCATAGAGACGAGACCACGGCAGGTCCCAGCCCCGGAGCAGTCAGGTCAGACCGGTACGGCTCATTCAGCTCTAAACCTTATTTTCAGCGCGACTTGAATGGCTTAAATTTGATTCTGAACTCTCCAGCAACACTCGAGTGTGAATAATCCTGGCAGAGTCTTGTTAAGTTTGCGCTGGGCCAACATGGACCATAACCAGGCTTTGTTTAGCTCGCCAGTTCTATTCTAAACTGGATCTGGCTGATGAGCTGCGAAAGTTTGAGCGGCGGAGTTTTCAGCCGATAAAGTTGCTTCGGCGGCCATTAAGACTCGAGACTGAGACACAATAGGTCCTCACTCCGGAAAGTGCCCCCGAGCGAAAACCAGAAACCAGCAGAGGGAGAGGAGAGGAGGAGGAGAGGAAGGAGAGGGAGGAAAGAGAGGGAGTGGTGGAGGAGAGAGATGGGGAGATGGAGATGGAGAGAGAAAGAGAGAGAGAGACGGAGAGAGGAAGAGGTGGAGGAGAGAGAAGAGAGGAGGAGAGAGGAGGAGAGAGAGAGAAAGAGGTGGAGGAGAGACGGAGAGAGGAAGAGGTGGAGGAGAGAGGGAGAGAGGAGGAGAGAGGAGAGAGAGAGAGAGAGAGAAGAGGAGAGAGGAGGAGAGAGGAAGAGAGAGGGAGAGAGGAGAGAGAGAGAGGAGAGAGGAGAGGAGTGGAGAGAGAGAGGAGAGAGAGAGAGAGAGAGAGAGGAGAGAGAGAGGAGGAGAGAGGAGGAGAGAGGAGGAGGAGGTGGAGGAGAGAGGGAGAGAGGAGAGAGAGGAGAGGAGAGAGGGAGAGGGAGAGAGGAGGAGAGAGGAGAGAGGAGAGAGGAGAGAGGGAAGAGAGTGGAGGAGAGACGGAGAGAGGAAGAGGAGGAGAGAGAGAGGAGAGAGGGAGAGGAGAGAGAGGGAGGAGAGAGAGAGGAGAGAGGAGAGGAGATGGAGAGAGGAGAGAGAGAGAGAGAGGGAGAGAGAGGAGGAGAGAGAGGAAGAGAGGAAGAGGAAGGAGAGGGAGGAGGAGAGAGGAGAGGAGAGGAGGAGGAGGAGAGAGAGAGAGGAGAGAGGAGAGGGAGAGAGGTGAGAGGAGAGGTGGAGGAGAGAGGAGGAGAGAGGGAAGAGGTGGAGAGAGAGAGAGGAAGAGGAAGAGAGAAGAGAGAGAGAGGGAGAGAGAGAGAGAGGTGGAGGAGAGAGGAGAGAGGAAGAGGTGGAGGAGAGAGAGAGAGGCGGAGAGAGGGAGAGAGGTGGAGAGAGAGAGAGGAGAGAGGAGAGGAGGAGGAGGAGAGACGGAGAGGTGGAGGAGAGAGGAAGAGAGAGGAGGAGGAGAGAGGAAGAGAGTGGAGAGAGAGAGAGGAGAGAGAGGAGGAGAGAGGTGGAGGAGAGAGAGAGAGAGAGAGAGAAGAAGAGGTGGAGAAGAGAGGAGAGAGAGAGAGAGGGTGGAGGAGAGAGGGAGAGAGAGAGAGAGGAGAGAGAGAGGAAAGATGGAGAAGAGAGGGAGGAGAGAGTGGAGAAGAGGAGAGAGAGGAGAGAGAGGAGGAGAGAGGGAAGAGGTGGAGAAGAGAGGAAGAGAGAGGAGGAGGAGAGAGGAAGAGGTGGAGGAGAGAGATGGGGAGATGGAGAGGGAGAGAGAGACAGACAGAGAGAGGAAGAGAGAGAGGTGGTGGAGAGAGGGAGAGAGAGGCTGAGAGAAAGGGAGGAGAAAGGTGAAGATGGAGAGAGAGAGAGAAGGAGAGGTGGATGAGAGAGAGAGAGGTGAAGGAGAGAGGGAGAGACAGGGAGAGAGGGAAGGAGAGTGACAGATGGAGAGAGGAAAAGAGAAGTGGAGGAAAGAGAGAAGGAGATGCGGAGAGGGAGGGGAGAGGTGAGAGAAGATGAGAGCGATGTGGAGAGAGGTGGAGAGAGACGGAGAGGTGAAGAGAGAGGCAGAGTGACAGGGAGAGAGAGAGAGAAGGAGAAGGAGAGTGACAGACGGAGAGAGGAGGGGAGAGAAGTGGGGAAAGAGAATGAGAGAGGGAGATGTGAAGGAGAGGGAGTAAGAGAGAGGGGGACGTGGAAGAGAGAGAGAATGAGAGGGTAAGGAGAAAAAGAGGTGGAGAGAGGAGTAGGTGGATTAGAGAGAAAGAGAGAGAGAGAGAGAGAGGGGAGGACAGAGGTGAAGATGGAGATAGAGAGAGAGACTGAGAGAAGGATGAGAGGAGGAGAGGTGGATGAAAGAGGGAAACCAGTCTGGTCCCAAGTGGGAATGTTAAAGTGTGTTTAACTATTCCAGCAGGTCATTAAAGAAGAATGTTTGTTTACTTAGACGTAGAAAAGCATCAGACACTCACAGCCTCCTGCAAATAACTGCTGGAAACGTGGGGTTAATACTGAGGAGATTTAGATCTAGGCCAGGGTTTCTCAAACTGTGGTACACGGGCTGCCTCTAGTCGTACTCTAGACCCACAAAATGTACAAAGAAGTGGACTGAGGGAGTTCGGCTCCAGTCAAATGAAGCTCATCGAGGCTTGGGGTTATAGGCGAGTTTCATTGTTGACAAAAGCGCGCGTTGCATGCTGGGAATTATTTTGGTCGGCGGCAAGAAACACTAATTCAACATGACGGACGGAGCGAGAAAACACGTAAAAGGTATTGATCCTGGTTATTTATCCACTTAACGGCAGAGGACCCAAGACCATTTGACCAGAAATTGGTCATGAAGCATCGACGGAGCCAAATCACCCTTTTCAACCCCGACAAAAGGTGAAACCAAACCAAATTTCTGGTCAGAATCGCCAACTACCTGGACAAATATTCACTTCGGTGATATCCACAATGACTTGGTGGAAACTCCTGGGCCATTCACAGCAGAAAAGATGAAAACCTCCAAGAGTCTCGATGTGTTGTTGAACTTGTTGGAGTCCACGGTTTGTTTAGGATCTTCTACGTTTGCTCTGCGGATGTTTGAAAGTCGTTTAATTCACCGTTAGTGGTTCTTTTCACTCAGAATACAAAAAAGACATTTTCCTTCTTCCGTGCTTCTATTTGTGCATCTGATAATGCAGCAGGAATTTACCATTATCGAGGATAAATACGCGAGGTTACGCACTGTGTTTGACGCTATCGTGTTTCTTGCCTCCGACCAAAATATTTCCCAGCAGCAACGCGGGCTTTTAATAACAATGACGTCAGCTGAAACTCGCCTATAAGAGTGAATTTAAAGCCGAGTTGTTTACCATATTTTCTGCACTATAAGACGCACTGTCATTAAATGAAAATGTCATTAAATTTTGGAACTTTTTTCACAAATAAACCGCACCAGACTTTAAACGAAACACAACAGTGAGATGGGTCAGTGGTTTTGTTTGTTTGGTTCGTTCACGGTGACTCTGGGCTTTGTTCAGTTGTGGCGTGTAGGGAGGGTGCTGTCTGGGGTCGCTGGATTGTCGGCGTGTTCGCAGTGACTCAGTTGTTCAATTGTGTCTAGAAGTGGCACATTGCGCTCGCTTTTTCAGTTCGTTCCTCGGTCAACTGGACAAAAGTTTTTGATTGAAAACGTTTCGCAGCTCATCTAAGAAAAAGTTTTTGTTGTTTAGCTAAAACAACGAAAAAGTCCTGGATCATGTAGCGTGGGTTAATATGAACATTTTAAGATCAAACTCTGGATTCGCACTGCAGCAGCTAAGAGAAAGGAGTGATAATTTTTCAATGTAAAGTCAATTGGAGCCAGAGTCGATGGAGCCAGAAGTGCTCCCATGCTCACTTCCTACTTGAAACGCGGCTCTCTCTATTTATATAAACAGTCTATGATCAAAATAAACCGAATGAGTGGTTCAGTTCTGTTTTAGTCCTGGTTTAGTCCTGGTTTAGGTTTAGTCCTGGTTTAGTCCTGGTTTAGTCCTGGTTTTTAGACCTGGTTTAGTCCTGGTTTAGTCCTGGTTTAGTCCTGTTTAGTCCAGGTTTAGACCTGGTTTAGTCCTGGTTTAGACCTGGTTTAGTCCTGGTTAGACCTGGTTTAGACCTGGTTAAGTCCTGGTTTAGACCTGATTTTAGACCTGTTTAGTCCTGGTTTAGAGCCTGATTTAGACCTGGTTTAGTCCTGGTTTAGTCCTGGTTTATTTAGACCTGGTTTAGTCCTGGTTTTAGAGTGTTTAGACCTGTTTAGACCTGGTTTAGTCCTGGTTTAGACCTGGTTTAGACCTGGTTTAGTCCTGGTTTAGACCTGGTTTAGACCTGGTTTAGACCTGGTTTAGACCTGGTTTAGTCCTGGTTTAGACCTGGTTTTAGTCCTGGTTTTAGACCTGGTTTAGTCCTGGTTTAGACCTGATTTAGACCTGGTTTAGTCCTGGTTTAGACCTGGTTTAGTCCTGGTTTAGACCTGGTTTTAGACCTGGTTTAGTCCTGGTTTAGACCTGGTTTAGTCCTGGTTTAGACCTGATTTAGACCTGGTTTAGTCCTGTTTAGACCTGGTTTAGACCTGGTTTAGACCTGGTTTAGTGCAGATTTACTTTTTACCCAGGTCACATTCTCCAGCCTGATGCCGTGTGTTTGTTTTGCGCTCAGATATTTCGGCTCTCGTCGTCAGTGGGACTGCAGAGGAGCCTCGAACCTGGACCAGCTCCACAAACTGCTGAGTCAGATCATGATCCGGAGACTCAAACAGGACGTCCTCACACAGCTGCCCCCCAAAATCAGACAGAGGATCCCCTTTGACCTGCCCAAGGACGCCGCCAAGGTACACGATTACTCTACAAACATCCGTCCGTTTGGAAAGTTTACCTTATTTTTACTCGTGAATGGAGGAAGTAGGCGTTTAAAAGATAGTTTAGCAAGGTCCGATATTATGCAAAATTGATTCTTGTGAGCTTTAAACCACGTTAGAAAGTTCTTAACTAATCAAAAACATACCTGGAAGTTGTGTCTTTTCAGTTTTATTTTATTGTTTCAAAATATGGTAGAGCAACTTGTACTGTAATGTCTAGAAATCTATGATATTTGGAGTACAGTCTTATTTGAACATCTGGACTTTCTTCTACTATTAATTAGGGGTGTAAAAATATCCAAGTCTCATGATACAATATAGTCACAGTACGATATTTATTGCGAAATTATACATAATAACGAGACTGACATTATAAAATGCTTTGACCAGTCATTTGATAAAACATTTATTCTCATATTCATATCACTGACATTTTGAACAGCCTGAAAAGCCTTTGAAGTGCAAAATTCAAGTAACAACTAAAATATGTTAATAAAACTGTAGTGAGGAGTCTCGCGGAGTAAGTCCCACAGAAGCTGAACTGCATCAGCGCACAAGGAGCGAGCTGTTGTTTTCAGAGTTTATGCAAATGAGCCATGTGGTTTAAAGTTTTCTTTATGTAAAACGTAAACAAATGTGCGCAAAGCTGCATTAAACACATTATTACTCGATGTATATTTGAGTCCTCGTCGTAGGAAAAAAAAAAAAAAAAACAAAAAAAAAACAAAACTTAAACGTGATGGCATTTTATATTTCGTCTTGAGTTTAGCCACTTTTAAACCTTTGTCCACTGTGGAAAATGGTGCAAATCCCTCGCTTTATAATCTGCAAAGTATTTTGTTATTTCTTGAGTGCTGTTTTAAATGCTTCAAATATATTTTTTTGTCCCGAATTTCTGAACACATTCTTGAACATTTTCGGCGTGTCTGCTCATCAAGGTCCTTTCCCGAGGTGAACCGCACGGTGCATTGTCAGTGTTTGCACGCTGTCTGTTGTTTGTCCGTCACCTTTTCTTCTTTCTTGTTTCATGTCACAACAAAACCAAAATGCTTCTAGTCCTTATAGTTTACCGTGATATGAACCACAAGGAGCGGACTGAAAATTCAAGACACACACTTTAATACCGTGACAAGACCACGACGATACTGTGGCAATTTTACTACGACGATATTGTGATTTCGCCAATATCGTTACACCCTCCTAGTTTCAAAGTACTGTCATGTCTAGAAATCTGTTATATGTTGAGTTGAACATCTGGACTTCTTCTTTTTCTTCTAGTATTTGTTTTTATCTTAATTAGTCTGCATCTACATAGCAACAACACTGACAATTTGAAACCGGAACTCAATGTAATTTTCTACTGTGTATATAAATGTGAGAAAAATGTCCAGTTTCCAGTCAAAATATTCAAATCCAAGTCCAAATTTTTCAACAATTTATTTTAAACACGTTTTATGAAGCGCTGTAATGCAGCTGCAGTGATGTGGTGCTATACAAAAATACACTGAATTCTTAGATAAATAATTGCTACTTGATTTGCAATCGAGATTCATTTCACAGTGCATATTTTAAACACATCCAGGAGCGTTAACATTTGAGAAGAGACTAAAATATGAACTGCTAACTGAATGCAAGAATCCCAGGCATTTCAGAACATGTTTATAGAGAGTGAAAGTACAGGGTTTGCAGCTTTTACGCAGAATAAGACCCTCGTATACCTTAAACGTATATAGAGTGGTGGAGAGTGCATGAGACGGGTTTTATCAGTTTTACACCAGTTAAGTGGCAGTTTGGGAAGAAAGAAAATAAAATAAAAGTTGAAAAATACAGCACTGAGAAGCTCTACCTGCGTCATCAATATCTATATTAATATCTCCCCCGAATACAGGGACATTTTACGCACAAGGAATGCATTTTTCTGACAGTTTAAACATAAATTTTAACTAAATTAAGGTCTGTTCATATATTTGTATTTGTCTGCTGTATTTTTTGGACTGTAAGTCACACGTTTTTTTCATGGTTTGGGTGTTTCCTGCGACTTATATATTAAAAATTTAGAGGCCTTAGTCTTGTGTGTCAGTATCTGCTGCTCCTGTTCCTCCTGCACCACTGTCACTTCACTCTACTGCGCATGTCTCCTGCAGAAAGAGCCTCTGTCCTGCTGCAAGTCGTGAAATATTCAGCTGAAAACGGTAATCGAGCAGCAGAAAGAAAGTTTGGAGTGAGCGAGAAACTTGTGAGGGACTGGGAAAAAGCGGGGATGGAGAACACAGCTTCACGGTAAAACAGGAGGAGGCACCATGAAACTTTCCTGAAGTCACTGGATGGATGGACAAAGCCTGGACTTCAGAAAGACCAGAATAATTCTAACTGGACCTGATGCTGAGTCTGACGACAGCTACACAGAAGAGGAAGCGCCGCTCTGTTTACCTCCGGAGGTCGTGGAGTTGCTCAGAAGTGACACAGAGGATGAAGAATTGAATGGATTTAGTGATTTGGAGTGAGATGGAGAGTTTGTTAAACTTGTTCTGTTGTTTATGTTATAGTTTATCTGAAGAACTGTTCATATGTGACGTTAACAGTCTGTTGTTCTCTGTTCTATTGTTTTTACTAGAACTTGTCTTTCAGCATGAAACATCGATTCCTGGTCTCAGATTTTTATAAAGTAAATTTCCCCCAAGAAGTGTGATTTATAGTCCAGTGCAACTTATATGTTTTTTTTTCTTCATTTCATCACAAAATATTTTAACTGGTGCGACTTATACTCTAGAGCGACTTTTAGCCTGAAAAATACGGACTATAAAAATAACTATTGTGTAAATTAGATGAGCTTTGGGCCTTGTTGACATTACGGTTGCCAGGTAACAGTTATGGCATCATATCTACTGCACGGAAAATTATAAACTAGTTGAGATATAACGATATCCAAGTCTCTCGGTACAATATTTTCCCGATACACATCTCACGGTACGATATTTATTGCGACATTTTGTGGAGCCTGTGGAGTAAATATGCGACTTTTTCCTCTTAAAATGCCTTGACAAGACTTAATCCCAATAACTAAGACTTAAAATTGCTTAGAACTGTTATTTCTTGCAAAACGGAGCAAAGGATCATGGTCGATGTAGTTCCCTCTGTTTTTTTTACCTATTTCTGCACCATAACAATGAATTTACGCAAAGACACTTGTAATTCGATATATTGTGATCGTCCACGGTATTATTGAGAGACTTTTGACGATACGATATCACAATATTTTGGTTATTGTTATACCGCTATAAACTAGGCAAGATTATTAGTAAAATCATGAAATATTTTTGTGTTTTTTGTTTTATTTTGTAGTGCTTTATTATCCCAGCTTCGTGATCTTGTTCTTAGACTTGGTCAGGGCTGATTTAGCTGGAGGATTTTACCTATGGAGCATGTTAGGGTTTGATCTGGAGTTGTGTTTTGTTTCATTCACACAGTTCTGTTTTTAATGAGGACACAATATTATAACATAGATCAGAAAATAGCGTAACACGGCCTTTTATATTTGTCCCTTTTCCTCTGTTGGGGTCGGACTGGCTTCAGCTGCTCTTGTGCGCTCGGTGAGAGGCAGAGGAGGTGGGCGAGAGGAGACTGACTCTGTAGAGGCTAAAACAGAGCTGCACACGCCCACACGGCTAACTTGACATTTATTTTAGAGCTAGTTTGTGTGCTGTATCCACCAGAAAGCAAAGCAATACTGAGCTGCCTCATCCGGGCTCAGACTAATGTAAAGTTCATATTAAAATAACTTGCTAATGAGCCAAGACACCCAATGTTTCAGATAAGGTTACGGCCGATCTTTTAGCTGTAAACTTGATATTGTAACGAAAATATTAAAGGTCTTATATTATACAAAACTGACACTTATGAGATTTTAGTCGTGTTATAATGTTGTTCCATCCTCAAAAACAGATCTGGAGTTGTGTTTTGTTTCATTCACACATGTTTGAGATTGGCAGTTCCAGGGCTGAAATGATCCAAATGATTCTAGTGAAGGTGTATTATACTAAATAATGGGGGTGTAAGAAAAAATGTATCCAGTGATATATTGTGATACTTCATTGTACAATTCTTGAATCAATTCAAAATGCATTCGAATCGATTTAAAAAAAAATAATATTTATCACAAAAATGAATTATTGGTAACACTTTATAATAACTACACCTTATTTAGCCTTAATAAAGCATGAACAAAGACTTAATTAATAATGATTCACACTTAGTAACTACTTAATTACTACCTGAATTAGCACTTAACTTGCACTTAATTCGCCTGTGCTGTAAATAGTAACTCAATACTTCTTAATTACTCATGAACTAACCATTTGCATGTTTACAAATACATATTTAAGTTCACATTTGAGCATTTATTAATGATTAGTAAACTATGAGAGAATGATTTACTAATAATGGAATGCAATGATCATTCAGGCAGCTGTTATCTGTTAGTTAAGTCTTTCTGAGAGCTTTTCTAAAGTGAAGGCTAATTATGCTTTATTAAGCATTTGTTAAGGTTGGTCAAATTCCAGAGAAACAATAATGCAGTACTAGTAAATCATTCTCTCATGGTTTTACTAATCATTAATAAATGCTCAAATTTGTACTTAAATATACATTTACAAATGCACACACAAATGGTTAGTTCATGAGTAATTAAGTAAGAAATACTTATGAGTAACTATTTACAGCACAGGCGAATTAAGTGCAAGTTAAGTGCTAATTCAAGTAGTAATTAAGTAGTTACTAAGCGTGAATCATTGTTAATTAAGTCTTTGTTCATGCTTTATTAAGGCTAAATAAGGTGTAGTTATTATAAAGTGTTACCGAATTATTTACATTCACTGTTCTGATGATTTAAACATTTTTATAAATTATATTTCATACAGTTGTGTTCTCGTGAAGGTGCAGTTGACATAAGTACCATAACTACCTTATTTTCTGGG